CTAAGTCAACTTCTAGAATATACCCATACTCGCTATCCTCACTAATGTTTTTAACATTAAACAAATCCACTTCTTCCGGCTCTAGCCACTTAAACTCCCCATAAGGTAAGGACTCGGACATGGCCCAACCATACAAATTATTCGCATCCACATACATTAAATATTCCGATTCTTTACTAGAATCAAAATCTTTAAGGTATTTGTGGTTTGCCTTGGTATACCTATGCGTACTTTGTACTAACCCTCCTCGAATCCCTTTTTGAATATATCGTATCATGTCTATATCCTGCAGTAATTCGAGGCTAATTTGCGTAGTTTTAAGCATGGCATCCCAAGACAAACTCGGAATTGTGTAATAATGAGCAGGATCGAGCCCATGAATTTCCATACAAATTCCTCTGAAATTTTCGAAAATATCGGACAACAATAAAACATCAGTTTTTAAGTATAATTCTAAGTAATCTTTAAGGGTCTCACACTTGAAATGTGTCCATACTTTATGTGCGTGCGCGTAATCAGCCTCAGAACATTCTGTTTCACACAAACTACTCGTAAGGGAAAACACCTTTCCGACGAAGAAGGGTAAAGTCTTCACTATTTGGGTATTGAGATTTTAACACATTCAACTCATCATCATTTAAATTACTTGCCAGTGTGTCTAGACTAGAGGACATGAATCGGAAAGAGTCTAAAAATCTAATTTCTAGGGTATTATTTCCTACAGGTATATATTTAGATAATGATATATATAATTCTTTATTGCATGGAATTACACGTATTTCGCCTTCTGTTTCCCCGAGCTCTTTCACAAACAAATGTGCATCATACTTGGAAAGGTTGTGAAAGAACACGGGGATGAAATTACCTGTTTTATATTTTATATTACACTCGTTATGAGCTGCACCTCGAAATTGGCCTGTGAAATGGCAGTGATCTCTCACTCTATCATTTCCTAATTCACCCTTACATATATGACAATTGATAGCGGACGCAAATTTTATTTCATCCTGTTGACTCATTGATAATGGTATTATTTTTGACATATGATTTTGATATATCTCGGACAAATAGGACGTTAAATTTTCAATGAAAGTGCGACTAACATTTCCACCTGTTTTTAAAACTGACTTATCTAAACTAGAATCAAATGCACACTTTATATAATATGAAAATGAAATAGGAATATGCTTATTTACAATTTGTGATTTTTCACTTACTGCTATTGAGGCAGGCTCCAGGATACACTCAAAGTCTGCGTAAACTGTAAAAGGGACCTCCAGTTGACGATGATAATTTGAAAACTCGAGCGTTGTGGCTTTCACATGAGGTCCTGTGGTGACCACTTTGCTGCAGACTTCGTGATGCTTTTCAAACCTCTCATCGCTTGTTGAGTAGCTTAAACATCTGTTGCAGAACATACGTTGAATTCTTTGATTCCCAATTTGTGATGTAAGTAGTCTATAAATAAAAATATAAAATTTAATTAGTATACAAATTAGAATGTATACATATATATATATATATTTTTTTTTTTAATCTATATATATAAAAATGGAGACAAAAAATGTTAGGGATCAAATCACAAGAGAACGGCTGGGCCGATTTGGCTCAATTTTTTTTCAGTTTTTTGTAATTGCCAGAAGAAGGTTATAGCATAAGAAAATTTTGGGAAGTCCTTCCGGAAAGGTCGCTAGCGGCTCAACAGATGGACACACTGTTGTATGTAAAATTCTGAAACACCCTACAAAGATCATAGCTGCGTTGAAATTGTGTATCAATGAACTCGGTAAAAAAATATTTAAACAAAAAAATCGAGCTAACGAAGCATTACCAAAGTGAGCTTAAACAATTGGAAGTAATGCCTGCTGTTAGACGATCAAATCTTGGGCGGCGTTCACGCAATGCAATAAATAACCAGAATTTCCGTAATAGTCGGACGCAAGAGGAACGTACAGAAATAAATGCATCGATACGTGCCCAAATGGCACAGCTTCGCGCTGCACAAAGACCACCTCAAGCCCGACAAAATAATAGAGGAAGACGAGCCGCAAATGAAAACTTGAATCGCGCTGCATTCGCATACAATCCTGAAACATCCTACAAGGATCTTACGTGCGTTGTTATTGGTTCATTATCTGTTGTATGTCAGCATTGTAATGCATTGAAGTTTCGGTTGGAAACCCCCGGCTTATGCTGTGCAGGTGGCAAAATTAAATTGCCCGTTTTGGCTCATCCACCAGAGCCTTTGTACTCGCTACTATATGGAAACTCAGCCCAATCAAACAGTTTCCTGAAGCTTGCACAAAAATATAACGGATGCTTTCAAATGACGTCTTTTGGAGCCGAGGTTGTTCAACAATCAGGCTACAATCCAAGTTATAAGGTAATGGCGTCTCTTTATTATCACATTTTTTCAAAATTGCATCCCAACATTCAGATTCAAGGGCAAATTCACCACCGAGCGGGCGCTTTGTTACCACCACAAAACAAAGATCATAAATTCCTTCAGATCTATTTCATTGGTGATTCGGAAGTTGAACTAAATCACCGCTGTGCAATTTTTACTGCAACTAAACGTGAAATTATTCAACAATTGCAAAACCTTCTCCATGAGCATAATGAATTGGTCAGATTGTTTAAAACCGCATTGGATATAATGCATTATGACGAACATAAAATCATTATCAGCGCTGACAAAAGACCCACTGGTAGCCATGCAAGACAATTTAATGCTCCCACTATCAATGAAGTCGCAGTGGTGATTGTTGGCGAGAATGTTGAATCACGCGATATTGTTCTTAAGCGTCGGGATAATGGCCAATTGCAGCGAGTTTATGAGACTCATCGGTCTTATGATGCTCTTCAATACCCGTTGATGTTCTGTCGTGGAGAAGATGGGTATCACTTCAACATAAAGATGGTCAATCCAACGACAGGTTTGTTTAAAAGTCATCACGTCTTTTTAATTCTACAACTGAGTTTGAATTCAAATTTTAGGAGAAGAAACGAATAAGAAGGTTAGCTGTATGAATTTTTATGCGTATCGATTGATGATTCGACTTGATGTTGACAATCATCTGTTAAGATACCGCCGTTTGTTTCAACAGTACTGTGTCGACATGTACGTCAAAGTAGAAACGGAACGTCTCAATTTAATTTGTTTTAATCAGTCGAAGTTGGGGCGAGATAAAGTTCGCCGGGAAGAATAATGACGTAGATAGTTTGAATTTCCTTATTCAAAGTCAAATCGCTGGAGAACTGCATTCATACAGATCCGTTGACAGCGTGACCGACGAGGATGAAGCGACCAACTATGCGACATAATTTTTGAACTCACTGGTTTGTTTAAAAGTCATCCGAGATTATGCAACGGTACTCGGTTGTCCGTTAAGAAACTAATGAACAACGTGATTCAAGCGACTATCATCAAGGGAAAATTTAAAGGAGAGGAAGTTCTTATCCCACGAATTCCGATTATTCCAACAGATCTTCCATTCCAATTCAAGAGGATTCAGTTCCCAGTTCGATTGGTTTGTTTAAAAGTCATCACTTCTTTTTGATTATCAACTTATTTTGAATTCAAATTTTAGGAGAAGATAGGAATAAGGCAAGGTAATAATGTACGTCAAAGTAGAAACGGAACGTCTCAATTTAATTTGTTTTAATCAGTCGAAGTTGGGGCGAGATAAAGTTGGCCGGAAAGAATAAGGACGTAGATAATTTGAATTTCCTTATTCAAAGTCAAATCGCTGGAGAACTGCATTCATACAGATCCGTTGACAGCGTGACCGACGAGGATGAAGCGACCAACTATCCGACATAATTTTTGAACTCACTGGTTTGTTTAAAAGTCATCACTTCTTTTTGATTCTCAACTAATTTTGAATTCAAATTTTAGCCTAAAATTTTTAGGAGAAGATAGGAATAAGGTCAGCTCTATGAATTTTTATGCGTATCGATTGATGATGTTTCAATAGTAGTGTTTCGACATGTACGTCAAAGTAGAAACGGAACGTCTCAATTTAATTTGTTTTAATCAGTCGAAGTTGGGGCGAGATAAAGTTCGCCGGGTCCGCTAGTTTTTTATATTTTACTTACCTTGACATATGTTTTATCCAGACGAAATGTCCTGGAATGTTTGCAGTTGGTCCATCCACAAATAATAAATTGATGTGGAATTCCTTTTCGACAGCATCCGAAAAAAGTGGTCCAAACACTTTACCCACTTTTTCATCATACCCAAACACATTTATACTAATGTGTGGGTTTTGAGCAGTGAACTTGGCAACTTCACGTATTTCCATTGGGAAATTTAAGCCAGTGAAATCTAATTTCGTGGATGGACCTACATAAATCACGCTTGATGAAATGTTCACTTTATATGTTGAACATCTTTGTGGCTTTTTGCTTTTCGAAAAGCTGGATAATATTGCCCACTTAAAGCAATATTCGTCTTTGTTTTGGACGTTAATCACAGCATTTTTGTATTGAAGTTTTTGTGGTAGTTTAAAGGGTCCGCTTCCTTTCAATGGGTCACATTTTAACATATTTAACTCGACTCTAATTATGCGGGTTAGAGTCCATCCGCTGTCCCTTTCCTGGAACTCACTCATTTTTGTTTCAATTTCATCTTTGTGGAAATTGAACAGCATAATCAAATTGGAGGCTGATGAAACCATTGTCATTTTACTTTGGAATGACTTTATCTCCACTTGAGTTACATGCTCCTTTACAAGCATATACTCAGCAAACAACTCGAAATTTATTTTCGATGAAATGTGCGAGGTTAACACTCTCTCAATATGAGGGATCAGCGCTAGACTCGCCTCATTTAAAAATTCGCTGGAATTTCTAACAGGAACTCCCTCATTAACATACATGTATTGAAGGATTCGACCCTTGAATCCATCCAAAATTTGCTTAACGCTCCCATCTACAGGTCGAGTTGCATAAAACTTGTGGGATTCTGTGCGGACATGATGATGCCATTGCACACCCACAGCCAGAACCATCTGGCAGGATTGGCAGTAAATGCCATTCATATTGTTGTAGTTGCTGAACTGGTTGTAGTTGTTGTAATTGATGTAGTTGTTCATGATGATGTTTTTGTTGATTTCGTTGAAGGCAATATAGGTATGATGATATGCACGTTGTTGATGATGATGTTTTTGTTGTTCACGTTGACTATATATATATATATATATTTTTTTTTTTAATGTTTATAAATTTTTTGTTTTTTTGTTTTGTTTTTTTTTTTTTTCTTTTGTTTTTAATTTTTTATATTTCTGCTTTTGTTGTTAATAATGTTAATAAATTTTTTGTATTTTGTGTTTAATGTTTTATATTTTTCTCAATTTTTGTTTTTATGTAAACAAATTTCACTTTTTCAATTTTTGTTTTTTTCTTGAAACCAATTTTACATACACTTATTCACTTTTTAAACGTAAAATTTTGTTTTATAATTTTTTTTAAGGTAAACACCGGCGTGTACAAATTGATCAAACTGTGAGTGAATCCTTAGGATCTAGGATTTTCCTCGTAGACCCGAAATCATACGCATAAGATGCGAAAATTTCTTTTATTTTATTTTTTTTTTTTTTTTGTCAGTTTTGCTTTTAACGTAATGGAAAGGAACCCGACTATTTTATCTTGGGTAGTTGTCATTTAGTTGATCGTTTGTACTCATACCCCACACCATTATATAAGAGTAGGGTCGATGATAGCACTAAATTTACTCATGCTCTTTCAAGATTTGTTTTTGTTTTTCATTATAAGAGAAAGAAGGTGTTGTAAATGTGTGAGATCGCTTACCTTTTTTGCTAGACGATCCCTCAATTCCTTTTTAGTAAGCATTCGTTGGCATGTGTCCTTTGTTGAAAGGGAAAGTGATCCTTTTTATCAACACCGAAAATCTCGGTCAATGGTACCCTTTTCTCCCCATTCACCAACCCATTGATAAATGAGCTGTAACCTTTTGACTCCATATTTATCACAGCCAAAAATCTCGGCTGACCTTTTCATCCCTCCCTCTTCATTGCATTGTGCGTTTGCAGGTGTATAGCGGCCCTTCATCCCTTTAAGGATCGCACTGACCTTTTCACCCTCCATCCCCTTTTGGTGTGGGATTTGATTGTGGGAAACGAATGCGTGCGGGTCGAACGCTATCGCTCCCTCTCGAAGCCGTTTCGAGTGCGCCTTCGGGGCGGTAACGTACCCGCTCCCGCGCGGATCGAACGTTATCGCTCCCTCTCGAAGCCGTTTCGAGTGCGTCTTCGAGGCGGTAACGCACCCGCTCGCGCGCGGGTCGAACGATATCGCTCCCTCGCATACGCACTCGAAGGCGTATCGTGTGCGTTATCGCTCCCTCGCTCCCGTATCGAGTGCGTCTTCGGGCGGTACCGCTTCCGCACACGTTTCTCACGTGTCCTCAATCCATTCAATCACACCCTAATCAATTTTTATTACCCTACCCTTTTAAGGTGTGTAACGTGTAACGTTCGACTAATGTACAAATTGTTTCCAAAGATCTGTATTGGCTGGGCACGCTATGTATTCCGGCACTAGCTCGTCGGCTTTGGGGGGTGGAGGTCTTGCTCGTACAGATCTTGACACTGTCTACGCATTACTATTAATAGGATCAGAAAGGAGCGTGCTGCGACAATATCTAAAGCTAGTTACTAAACCGGAAGAAAAGATGCAAAAAAAAAAGGAACAGCGAGAAAGGACGAGAGAGAGAGAGAGAGGGAGGGAGAGAGATTTGTTGTTTGCGAAGCCTGAGATGTCATTAGGCTCGCATTCTGCCCACCCTACCTTTGACCACCTGCCGCTAGAGAATAACTCTGGTGATCCCTTCTATACCCTAGGACCGCAGAGACATCAGCCGAGTTCAGTTGATTAATTATTTAAGCTTTCATTTTAATATTTACTTCCTTGATAGTTAACATATTTAATTTCTTGATTATTCTAAGCCTAGGTGAAACAATATAAGCGAAATAATACAAAAATTAGACTTAAGCTGCATGAGCGATTTTTGGGCCTACAAGTGTATATAAGTATATAAAATAATGTATAATATGTATATAAACATGTGCTAGAAATCTGTTATGATAAGATTGGAAAAAATAATAGTTATAAAAAAATGTAATTTTTTAAAGAAATAGTTTGTTTAGAGAAAATTCATGGAGTTGTTCTTTTATAATTAATATTCATTCTTACTCTTTGGTGGTTTGCTAATTATTTAATGCTATTCATTTTTTTTTTCAAAATCAAAAAGTTTTCTTTTCATGAGTCGATAGAATTAATTCAGTTTTAGGTTTAATTCATTTTGGCTGGGTTTAAATTTTTAATAATGGATTTTTTCTTTAATAAATTTTCGACCTTGACATTTGTTTTATCGTTTAAGAGGATTTTAGTTAGCCCAGATATTTTACTGTTTTCAGATTTATTGTCATAATATTAAACTCACACAGCAGATTCCTCGGCGGACGATCGATCTCCCGACGCAGGCAGGCTGGAAAAAAAATCAAGGCATTCCTGCTTTGATAGGGGGGGTTATCCTTTATCCTTATAAACGTTTAACTTTTTCCGACTAAACCGAATAAAACTTTTGCCAAGGGAGAATAATCTTAAATGTAGCTGTGCACTCAATGAATCATTACTTAAATATAATTTCTAATTAATTATTATTATTATTTTTTTTTTTTTTTTTTTTTTTTATAAATTAAATTTTTCCAATATAGTTGTTTTACTTCATTCTTAATTCTTTTAACTATGCTTTTAAAAGCTTTTCTTTTTGATGTACGTTAAGACATGTTGAGGAATTTCTCCCAGTGTAGCACAGGGCACTTGTTATGCACGTGGGATTTATTATTTTCCGCGAGCTGAATATTTTTTCTTTTTTTTGGAGGTTAAAAATAATTACGGCAAAAATCTTTACACCGCGGAAAATTCACATGACGAATATAAAAAAATTTGGATTTAGATTTGATCTAGTTTGGCATTATTTAATCCGCGGAAATAGGTCGAGAATATTCCTAGCAAGTCAAAGGTACTCCCTGCTGCCAATGCTGATCGATGAAAAATCAGGGCCGCTCCAGAAGGCGCTGCCGATCGCTGGGCAAATGGGGGTGCTCCCCTAGGCAAATCCGCCGGCTTGATTAACGCGGCGCTCCCCGAGAAAAATCCAGACCTCTGACTAACGGAGGTTTTCCTGTGCGCCACCTGGAGTGGCGGCGGGTGCGGGTGCTCCTCAGGGCAAATCCGAACCACCGGCCAATGTAGGTGCTCCTCTGCACAGATCGGTATTGCCGGCCGATGTGGGTGCTCCCCCAGACAACGGACGCAAATAAAGTGGGCACCTTGGAACTCCACTCGCACAGGTTTGCCGTGGCGGCCTTGGTGGCCGAGGCGACCGTATCGGGAAAGTGGAGTTTTTTCAGCCTTCCTAAAAGCCAAAATCAATTAGCACTCGCATATAATTTGCGCACAAAGAAAAACTCACTTTTCGAAATAAATTGTTGTATAAAAAAAAATCACTTTTCGATTTTTGATCCGCGTGCTTTTATTTAACCGCACTTTTAAAAAAAAATTGACAGAAGAAAATTTTCACGTCTGTCTGCCACGCCGGTTCAATAGAAAAGAAAAGCTCAAAACTCATGCGGCGTTGGCTTCGGCCATTGCCGGAAATTTCCGTCAGCTGAGAAATCCGCCATCTCGGCTTATAGCGAGCTTTTTCCAATCAGATGATTCAAGCCCGACCTGGCATCACTCCCAAAGATATATATCGATTAGTATTTTTGTTTTTTAGTTAAACACTAATTACTGATACTAAATTGGGGTTACATCTGGCCAGTCTTAACTGGGTTTTACTACCAATTTTGAAGCATGCTTTTACGCAGAACATAACTAAAACGTTCTTCAGGCGCCGCTACAAAGCCCCCCGGAAAATCTGGCTAGGGTCTACTGTACCCTAGACTGATACCGACTGAAGACACGTTATTGTCGAATATCTTTTGCATGATAAGTACCTATAATTCGACCCTGCAAATCTTCTAATTCGTAATAGGAGTTTCCTAATTTCCTACGAATTCTCGCTTTCACAAAGGAAGGACCGAATTTGGCGTTGTAACCAGTTTGAAAACAGCTTTGTTTAAAATTTCGACGGAAGATCTCTTGTCCTTCTTCGAAAGACACAATTCTTGACCGAAGATTATATCGCTTTTCGTTAATATCGTGCTTCTCCTGCATTAACTTGCAAGCTTTATCTCGAACTATTTCAAATGAATCCTGACGATTGAATTTCAGCGAACGATCATCTAGTAAATTTAGCTTTCTCAACAAAGAGTAAGTACTACCGGACGTAATCATGTGTTGTCCGAAAACCATGTAGTATGGAGATGTTCCCAAACTAGCATGCACAGATGATCTTAACGCGCAACATATTCTGCTGAGATACTCGTCCCAGTCCTTTTGGTCTGGTCGAAGATAAGCTCTAATTGCTGATATTACAGAGCGGTTAACACGCTCGGACGCATTAGCCTGAGGCGATGAACGGCCGTCAGCGTATGCGTAATGCTGTATTGCTGCATTAGCTTCTGAAATGCGTGAGAGCGAAATTGTGAGCCGTTGTCGGACACCACCGTTTCAGGAGTCCCATATGCCATGAACAACTCCCCTTCTAGATATTTTATCACAGCACTTGTATCTACCTTCTTTACGGGTTTGAGAAAGACGTATTTGGAAAAATGGTCAAGCACGATAAATATACCGATGTTACCACTCCTAGATCTGGGATAAGGTCCTAGAAAATCTATGAACAACCTTTGGAAAAATCTCTGACTTTCCGGCGCTTTTCCTAATGGCGGTCGCAGTACACAATTCGGAGCTTTAGTGGTTTTACACACTTCACAGGCATTTATGTAAGCCTTCACATCTGGAACGAGACCAGGCCAAAAATAGTAACGCCTTACTCGCTCAATCGTTTTGTGCATGCCGCCGTGAGATGATAAAGGACCATCGTGAGCTCGCGAGAGGACTTCTGGAACCAGCTCTTTAGGTATCCAGAGCTTCCACGCATACTCATCATGAACTTGCTCTC